CTTAGTAAGAGCGATTGTCCGCCTTTTAGGTTGTTGTTCCTTTCCCAGGACTTCAACTTGTTACCGTCCTAACGGTTAGGGAACAGCACCCTTGTATACCCCATCGAATAGTTAGCGCTGGCTAATGAATCTACGAACCTTCTGAAACAGATGTGGCATTAGCGGTTCCGATGCCATAAGTAGAAGTATACTGTCGTGCAAAGGCCTCTTCAACTGTCTCAAATAGAGAACCGCGAGAAGAAGATGCCAATGAATCCCCTGCTTGGATCTTTGAAGGAATCACCGGCTTTACTAAGCTTGGCACAGATGTTCGAGAATAAGCTGTGGGACTTGCGGAATAGTTAATTCGATCAACAATAGAGTAGTTGGGATCAAGTATTCAAAAGTTTTCTTTTTTGACTGGATCAATTTCTTACAGTAAGAAAAATGAAGGTCCAGCGTAGGGTTTGTTAAGTAATCGGGTTTGGCTCAAGTTCGTATGAACTAGTCTTTCTAGGTGAAGATGGAAAGAAGTCAAGTCAGACTTGGTATTATCCATTCCAATGTTCTAGAATTCTTTGAAGACCTTAAGCCTTTCATGATACTAGGGATCCTATACTAGCCCTTTTTCGTTATTCTATCTATCTCTAGGATAGACTTATTGACTTCGTGACTTGACTGAAGTTATCACGTGGACTCTATATCTTTTCTATCCCTTTTGTTTTTGTGTTATAAGGTTTATTGGATGCCTTATTATGGTTATGGATACAGAAGTCCTTGAGAGTCTTGATTATTGAATCATAGAATGTTGTAAAAGATGAGGTTTGTATTACAGGTAGAGCATAAACTTCAATTTCAAAGGAAAGTATACAAAATGAAACTAGTTTACTATATACCTATTTTTGTAAAGGTCACAAAACGAAAAACCTTAGCATTCCATTCAAGTAGAAGAAGGTAGGGATTCTTGTAGCTCCTAATAGTGTGCTCGTATAACCTAATCGAATTTATCCTTTCCATTATCTAAAAGGCACTAAACCATGGAGATGATACAAGCAGTATAGGGAAGATAGACCTAATTTGGATTCTTTTTCTTCCACTGAGATGAGCAAAAGATGGAGTAGGTATCTAAGTCATTTGTTGACTTGCCTTCTTAGAGATTATCCCTTAGACTTCATGAGTACTTACTTTATCTAGGAAGACTGACCGTGACTCGAGGTCTACGTCCTTACCTTATTGGATTTAAGAAAATGATTCCATTTCGTATATCGTGAAGTCTAGAAAGTTTGACAGCTGAACTTACAGGGCTTAACCAAATAAAGCCCAATGAATCTTTTTTATCTGATCTCTCTTATCACGAAGATCAATCTCATCGATTTCAAAGACTAATTTATATATCAAATTTGTAAATGTTCTATGCCTTATATTAATATTCAGATTATAACTATGCCTTTGGTTTCCCATTCTTTTCATAATTATGTTAGTTTCCAACCCCAGATGAAGACGCAACAATAAGTATAATAGCACCAACTGCAACACTCCCTGCAACAATTCCAAGTAACTTGAATCTTAGTAACATCAAATTATGATCATAATTCTGATTGGTATGTACTTGTGGAAGATCGGATACATCTGAGAGACTGCTTTCCTGGACAACATCTGAGAGACCGCTTTCCTGGACAACATCAACAAGACTAGATGATTCTTCTATAATTTCTTTCATCTCTCTGATAATATCCATCATCTTGACAACACTAAGCATATAATTGGACCAAATGGAATCATATCCCATATTTTTTACCAATATTAACAAGTCGTTGATTGAATAACTACTGTAATAAGCAAAACTCACAATGAAGAGAGGAGTAAACAAGCTGACTAAATCTACTTTCTTTGTTAATGTTGGAAGACCAACAGAGACTCCACCCTTTGGAGGTTTGATCCCTGTGAACTCTTCACCAACTAAATGGGGAACAATACCTAACCCGGGATCCTTAATTCCTAACCTGGAATGCTTGATACCAGGGGTTCCTAAGACAGAAAATGGATCCATTCCGAGCTTCTCATTCAAGATCTTTCGAATAGACAACAAAGATGGTAAGATTGGATCTGTGCTTACTGGTTCTAATATGCTGCTTTTACCAAAAGATGATTGAAAAGAAAGCTGAGAACGAGGCAAAGAGGGAGACCGGGAAGAACTGAGTATATTAGGCCCTTTGGATCTTGGTATTTTAGTAAGAATTGGTGGAGATTTTTCCAAGGAGGATTGATCAACAGGTATAGGATGTTGTGATAATGAAAGTTTTTGTACTAAAGGAACTAAGACTGACTTAAGATTTTGTGTAAACATAATTTGAGGTTTTGTATTGTATTCCTGCTTCTTTCTTGCGTACCGTAAGGCCACTTTAAATGGTACGGTACACTCGAAATTCGAATCCCTGGCCTTACCCTGGATCTTCCTCTTATGAATTAGTTATTAAGACCCTCCCTCTCATCAATGAGTTGGTTCCATTCCATAACTCATTTATAAGTTGACTCATCTATAGAGGGTACCGGCTCATCTGGGTTTTAGGGATCGGGGGTAGAGTAGCGTAGCCCCTGAGGATTTCATATTTCCCATATAGATTCTCTTAATGTAGTATATACCCCCCTTTTTTCCTGCTCGCTCCCTTTTAACACCATTGGAAAGGTCTCTGTAAGGCTCCAGCGTAGAGATAGCTTCCTTTCTTATTCTTAGCGAGGAATAGCCCCTCTTCGCGCGGATAAGGAATATAACCGCTCCCTCTGGCCTTTATATTATAGTGAGTGTTCCGTGAGTGGGTTCTCGATTTAGGCGGGCTATCAATCGACTATGAAAAAGAAGATAAATAAGAGGTCTTAGTCTACTATTAGGGAAGTTAAGAGTTCATACTTTGATTCATTCTAGCTCTTAGGGATTGCAGAAGATATAATAGAGAGAGGGCTTAGTACACGTGGGACTTATGCCTTTCTTTTCGGATCAATGAGACAAGGAGTTACTCAGAGCTTTAGGGCCTTTGCCAAAGGAATGGAATGGGACCCCTTCTAAGCGAGTCAATCCCAGTAGAGGAAGGGAATTTCCTTAGTAGTTTGCTTTCATCCGAATTAGTGGTTTCAGATGGATTCGTCTTATATGTAAATAGCCCACTGGAAGTCAAGTATAGTGTGGTTCCACCTCGCAAGGAGAACAAGCGATAGATTGAAGATCAACAGGGCTTAATCAAATAATCAAGGAGGAAAGGAATAGGAAGAGAAAGAGCATGTGTGCTAAGGCACAAGGTCCCGTATTGGCACTTTCAGGTGGGCTAAAAAAGAGCCCCAAAGGAAGCCAGTAAGCTAAATAGGAATAAAGGTTAAGTGAAACTTAAGACTTTTGAGGGAGCTTAAGGTAGTTGACTTGCTTACTTGTTAGAGTCAGGCTAATCAAATTCTTGTTTAAAAGCACTTACTTACCAAGGACGTTAATATATATTCAAAACCACATGAGATAGGCACATACATCTATCTTTTGCCATCAGTTATAAACGATGGAGCGGGAATATGACTGAAAGATGGTATAGGTCCACAATGGAAAGACTAAATCCAAGCAAGCTTTGTTAGGGGAACTTCCCTTATAGCCTTTCCCCGTGGAAGTACGATTTTCTTTGGTGAAAGGATAGCAGTCAAGCCACAAGAGAAGAGATCATTAACATCGACGCTTCCAAGATCCAACCTAAGAGAGTAGGGAGTTCGGTCAGAGACTAGAAAAGTACGAAATCCTCCTTAGCACAAGCACT